CACCAGTCTGAGGCAGGAAAAGAATTACTTGGGAGATATTCCTCACCTAAATTTACAATCGTTTGTTTATGAAATCAGTAACTTGGGGTGCAAGTTATCTATTTTAAGAAGTCTGGTAGAATTGTTATTGCTAGCAGTGACACGCTCGCACACTAAAGAAAGTTGACTTGTTGACCAGTTAATGGTTTTCAAGGCAATGGGGAACTTTACCATACCATCACAGGAACAAAAATAAAACGGGTGAACAAAAATATTGAAAATTGTAGATCAGAGATGAAGAATATAGTTGGACCTGAGACTTAATTTGAATGAAAGCTCATCTTGCTCCAACACTGAGAAAGCACCAGCAAGAAAGAAGAAAATGAATATGATTTGGTTTTTTGGCAATTTAATATTAAATCAAAATGAATAGTTGGCAAATGTGATTTTTCTCTCCCAAATCCATAGTACAAGAGCAATATAGATATTTTACACACACAAATAAACTAAAAAATAGCTATTAGATTGAAAAAATCAACGATGTGTTTATAATTTTTAAATAGTATAGGGTTTCTTTATAAGGTTATGTCTAAGATTTGATATATAGCTAAATTTGTATATTTTTAAATATTTTTTAATCAATTTTTTCTTTTTCTTTCTCTTTCCTATTTTGTCCTTACTTTGAATTAATGCCCCATTTGGTTCATGGGAAATGAGACTTGAGGATGGGAAATCAATTGCTTTCCCGTGTTTGGTAAGTTAATGTATGAGAAATGGTAGCCCGACACATGGGTAGGGGGAAAGTGAAGCCCTCCTCCCAACTTGGGTTTTGTTTTCCCTAAACCCTAAACCACACAACCTACTACTCACCACCACCGACCTCGTCTCCCTCTTTCTTATGTCTTTCCTTCTTCCCCTACCTGCATGCCCAGCCCCAACAACACAAGCTCGCCACAACCTTTCCAAAGCTCATGTTCCTCTCCTATGCCCAAGGCCACCCCCATCCAGATCTCATCATCCCAATTTCTCTCTTTTTAACCAAATACAAGTTAAGGCACAAAGAGAAAATTCTTGTACTGGATTGAATTCATTCTCTGTTTTCAATTTTTTTTGTTTTTAAAATTTGCAGACAGAGTAAAGAATTAGTTTTTGAAATAGGGGCCAGTTAGAATTAATGAGGTGTTGGGAAAGCGAGGGCGAATTCAATTTTGTGAGTGTCAATGCTGTGATACGATTTGGTTGTGTAGGTTAAAGCTTGGGTGGTAACTGCGATTCTTATGGTTTGTTCGAGGTTGGGTTGGCGGTGAAGATGAAGCTGAGGGGAGGGGCGAAGGTGTGGGGGGGTTTGAGTATATTTTTCAATAAGGGTTTAGGTGGTGAGAGTGATGGCTGTGGCAGGGTGGGCTGTCGAGAGAGAAGAAAGTAGGTGCGGTGGCTTTATGAGTGATGGGGAAGAGAGAGAGAGAGTGGTGGAGCGGTTGAAAAAAAATAGACTTAATTACATAAATACCCCCTGAAACTTCTGTCAAATCCCACTTTGCCTTCCCAAACTCAAAATGGCTCACTTTCATCACTTAACCAAGGTTTGGTGACCCATTTTTCCCCCTGCCATTAACTTCATTCAAAAGTCAGTTAACTTTGATGATGTGGCAAGTGAAGGACCCACTTTTATGCTGATGTGTTAATAAAAATAAAAATAATAATCCTTTAAATAATAAAACATTAATATTCTTTTATAAAAACTAATATTTTTATAACATAATTATTTAAATTTAAAAAAAAACAAAGAATTTTCCAACTTCCTCTACAGATTTGTGGTTCTCCAACTTCCTCTACTGATTCCTCATCAGATCTAGACACAAAGGTCAGTATAAATTATAGATATTTGAGGTATAGGTTTTCTCATGCTAGTCTTGTCTTCTATGGTTCATTTGGGATTTTGTAGTGAAACAAGTCATGCATATAGGCATATGAACAATTAGTTTGTGTGTATATGTATATTATATGTATATTTATTCTGAAAATTATTGGTATATACCCATATTTGCAGTACCTTCGAAGATCAACATCATCGTCAACAACCTAAGCAGTGAAATTCCTGCTTTAATTTCTCTGTGTTCCTCTCTAGCCTTCATTGATCTTAGTCAAATCAAAGCTGATTGGGGAAATTCCAAGAGGCATCTCTGAGCTAAGAGTCATGAGCGTTCTCAATTTGTCTAGCAACCAACTCACGGGCAAAATTCCCAATGAAATTCGCAATATGACTAGACTCACACCGCTCGATCTTTTCGATAACAACTTCATCAGCAAGCTCCCAACCGACAGTCAGTTTATGGTCTTCAACAACATGTCGTTTGCTGGAAGTGAAATCGAACAAAAAGCAAAAGAGATGTCTGCAAAGGGCATTCACTATTGATTGATAAAAGCTCATGTTGATTCAACCTTTAAGTTTTTGTACCAAAACCTAGACTAATTAGATTGGATCTGACTGCGAAGAGAGGGGGAGAGGGAGGAAGATAAGGAGATAAGGATATAGTGGGTCGCGGAAGGGCAAATCTATAGGGGTTAGGTTGGGTCGGCTTCGGGAAGGTTTGTTTTGGTGGGTCGCTGGCGGATTTGTGGGTTGTGTCAGAGAAGGTGGCTAGGGGAGAGAGGATGAAGGTTGAGAAAATTCTTTGTTTTTTTTAATTATAATAAAAATTATGTTTTAAAAATATTATTATTATTTTATTATATTAAGGATTTTTTATTGACACATCAACATAAAAGTGGGTCCTTCACTTGTCACGTCATTAAAGTTAACAAACTTTTGGATGGAGTTGATGGAATGGGGCAAAGTAGGTCACTAAACCTTAATCTAGGGATGAAAGTGGGTCATTTTGAGTTTTGGGGGGCAAAGTGAGATTTGACCGAAGTATCAGGAGGCACTAGTGTAATTAAGCGGAAAAAAAATATTAAAAATGGAATGCAAGAAGGAAAATTAAATATAAAGAAAAATAAATAATATAAAAGTGAAGTAAAAATAAATTAATCTATATAAATAAAGAAAAGGCAGAGAATGGTAAAACATTCAAAATTTAAGAAAAAAATACCTTTAGTTAATGTAAACATTACGAATTGAAATTATTAATTAAATGAAGATAATATAGTAAATTCACACTTTTTTATATTAAAAAAAATTAAAATTAAAAGAAAAATTAGATAATGTGTTGATGCTTAAAAATGGTTCAACATTTTTGGGCCTAACTTAGAGATGTTTTGACCTCCGGCACCTTCTGGGTTTCGATAGAGCGATCTATCTGCAAGATAAAAAACGCTCGGTAAGCCCTTGGGCACTGGTGTGGTATCGGCCGAAGACTCTCCGATGCTTAAGTAAGAATAAGTATAGAGTATATAATAATCTAGACAGAGTAATAGTTGTATTGCCGAAAGTCTCAATTGCCCCATTTTTGAGACTTTTGCCCACTTTTATAAGTCTTGGGATGTGTGCATGTTGAGTGAAACTTCGATGTGGGATTGTGGATATTGCATGTGGTGGCTCCACGTGTACCAGCAAGAAATGATTGGCAAGGGGTCTTGTGTTGCGTTCGGTAGTAAGGGGTGCCGAACACTCCCGTACCGATGGCATTTTATTTTCCATGTGTGACCTTTGCATGGGTCAATCAGATAAGGTATAAATATAATGGATTCTATTTTTATGAAACATAACTAAAACCCTCTTGCAGGCGCGGAAGTAAAATAAGAAAAAAAAAGAAAAAAAATTAATTTAAAAATAAAAAAAGAGTATAAGTGAAGAAAAGAAGAATGGACAAATCAATCCCTTTTGAAAATGTGATGAGATTGGTTACTCCTTGGGTGCACATAGAATTGCCCAGTAAGAAAAGGACTGAAAAGATTGAATGCGTGAATAGTAAGTTGTAGTCGCGAGCGTCAGACAGGGCTTATCAGAATTCAAATGCTGACCGACCAACGTCTGTTTAAGAAACGTTAGCTGAAGCAGCATACACATAACGACGTGATATCGCCGTTAAAGGAACTGCCTGATGGCTCGCAAATAACGATTGCCACTTCACTAGTGCGTACAGTGTACCGCAAAAGATGCTCTACAAGCGTTTGCCTCTCTCTCTCTCTCTATAAAACAAGACATAACACAACACAACGCAACACATTGTTTGCTGTGCTTGCGTTGCGTCTGTATCTATCTGTATATGACATCTTTTGCAGCTTTGCTTTACTCACTTTCCACTTTCCTCTCTCTCTCTCTCTCTCTCCTCTCTCTCTCTCTCTAGGAAGTAGGGGTACTGGCGGGTGTGGCTGCCTTTTTGGAAGAGAGATTCTTGAGCGAGCTTATCCTTCTAATCTATTACTCTTACTCCACAGCGGCAGAAGAGAAGAGAATCTTAAATTTGTTCCAAGTCCTTTTAATTACTTACTCTTAAGTAAACCTTCTCCTTTTCCGTTTCGCCTTTTCTCTATGGATTTGTATTGTAAACTTGTACTAGCTAGCTAGTAGCAGTAGCCACTACTTCATTCAAATCTGGGTTTTCCTCTAATTAGTTAAACACCCGAATATATAATTTCATATTTCCTTCAAGAATCTGTGTATTAGTTAGTAGTGCTGCAGTTTTAGTTAGGCTCTTCTTTGAGCTGTTCCTTCCTGTTGCTGTTTTCTCACTCACCAAGCCGTCATCTTTTGAGGTGTATCATCAGCTCCAGACTCCAGCTCAATCATGGCATGGGTACGATTCCTTTTTCTGTTTTGATGTATGTGCAGAACCTCTAGCTTCTCTTCCTTCCTAGATCCGCTCCTCATCACCTTAATTTCATTTTCTTGCATCACTTCACTTGGGACTTGGGGTGCTCTACTCACTTAGCAACCTTCTCTGCTTTTGTGTTTTTTCGCCATTTATTTGCTTTGCTGCTGCTAACTCTGCCTGCGTCACATTGCATCAAGACTTGCTGTCTTTACCTTCAACCTGGCCAACTTGTGTGTTTGAATTTTGAATTATTTGAAGGAGAAAATGAGGTGGTTTTCAGTGGGTATCAAGGTAGTTTGTTTGCTTTCAATGATGTGCACAGTGAGTGGCATTGGTGCAAACTGGGGCACACAGGCATCCCACCCTCTTCCCCCAGACACTGTAGTTAGGCTGCTGAGAGAAAATGAAATTCGAAAGGTTAAGCTTTTTGATGCGGATTATGACACATTGAGAAGCCTGGGCAAGTCTGGGGTTGAGGTCATGGTTGGTATTCCTAATGATATGCTTGCATCTCTGGCCACCAGCGTTAAGGCTGCTGAGAAATGGGTTTCCAAGAATGTCTCAGCACACGTCTCCTCCAGTAATGTCAAGATCAGGTAAACCTTCCTCCCCACCCCCATTCATTTCTTCTACACTCTACAAAGTTTACTTGATGCTTGCTTGTACACTTTCAGAATTTATCATTTCCCTACTTCTCGAGCAGGAAATGCATCATGCCCCTCTTAATGTGTGTATATATATTTTTTATATATACAAAGAATAAGATCTGAACCTAGGACCTGCCACTTTCCCATCCATCCCAATGCCACTTAAGCTAGAGCTCGCAGAATAAACGTATATGATCTGAGCTACAACTTTGTAATTCTTCTTTCACTTGGTTTTTATGCTTTCATGTAACAACCTTGTATACCTCGAATGAGATGAATACAGAGCATCAAATTCTCACATTCGTACAAAAACCAAAGCAAGAAAGGAACATTATTCCACCATCACTGTTCCCAAATTCTAATCCTTTACATTAACAAGAAGCAAACTGGTATGAGAGAAAGTCATGCTATCTTTGGGATTTGGCCTCTAGAGAGAGTGAGAAATACCCTCCTAGCCCTTACTGCCACCACGTTAATTTTTGCTATCTTGTGTATAATTATATCATGAAAATTAATTGTTCCCAAATTGGTGCAAGCATTTCCGTTACGTATAATTTTCCTTCTTGGTGAAGATTTTGTATTGGGTGTTGGTTTGTTACTATATAGAACTAAGATTACCTTTAGCTATTTTGTGGGTGCTTATATCTTGTGAAAATTAATTGTTCACAACTGAGTGGAGCATTTCAGTTGTGCATAATTTTCATTGTCGACGATGATTCGTATTGGGTATTGGTTTTGGTACTATGTGGATGGTATTGACAATGCATTGTTCTTAATTAACTACTTAACTCCTCACCATATGTTTTATTCGTTCTTTAATGTTTTAAGTTTGAATGAGACTGTACAGTAATGACTAATTATATAGTAAAATCAAACATATTATCCCCAACTTGATGTCAGAGTCTTATGCACATTGGCTGGGGCTGCATCTTTTGGTCCCCATCTTGTACTGATAGTATCCCCAACTTAACCACCTTATAAGCTTTAGTGTATGAGTTTTATCGTAAAGGGGAAGACAACACAATAAATTTTCTATTCATTCCAGCCAAACCATTCTCTAATACGACTTCTTGAGGACTTCATTTTCTGCACTCTCCTACTTGACCACCTTGTAAAATTCAATGGTGGGGTTTTATCTTAAAAAGCTTCGGTCCAACTTAAAGAAAATTATCTCACTTAATATATGGTATCATATGAATCATGGCTTGGCATCTTCTTTGAATTGCATTATACTCCATAATGTGCTTGTTTTATGAAGATAACCTAATGTTTAACTATTATAAATAGCCTTCTCCAACAATTCTGCAAGGATGACCATGAACTTATTTGGATTTTATTTGTGTATTCTGTTTCTTTCACGTATCAATGCATCACATACTTATTGAGGTTTATGCTAAGCGAATAGAGTCATGAAATTATTAAATATCCTCTCTGGCAATTCCATAAGGACAACCCGGAACTTATTTGTTTTGATGATGTTCCTTGATTAATTTCGTTCGCCATGCTTAACTATGCTGTATAACGTGCAGAGGAACCTTTTATTCTTCTACTTATTGCAAGCTTTATATAGTCTTTACATCTTTGCATGTGTTCATCCCAGGTATGTTGCAGTTGGAAATGAACCTTTCTTGGAAACATACAATGGTAGCTTCCTCAGAACAACCTTCCCTGCTCTGCAGAATGTCCAGTCTGCCCTGATAAAAGCTGGCCTTAGCAACCAAATAAAGGTGACTGTACCCCTCAATGCTGATGTCTATGCAAGTTCAAATGGGCTGCCATCAGGTGGTGACTTCCGAACTGATATCCATGGGTTAATGCTTCAAATTGTCAAGTTCTTGAGTGACAATGGTGCCCCCTTCACCGTGAACATTTACCCCTTTATAAGCCTTTACATTGACTCCAACTTCCCTGTTGATTATGCGTTCTTTGATGGCAATGCATCACCTATTGCAGATGGTAGTTTAACCTACTACAATATGTTTGATGCAAATTATGATACTCTTGTGTGGGCCCTGCAAAAGAATGGCTTTGGAAACTTACCAATCATAGTTGGAGAGATTGGATGGCCAACAGATGGAGACCTGAATGCTAACATAGTTTATGCTCAGAGGTTCAACCAAGGTTTCATGTCCCACATATTGGGTGGCAGAGGAACTCCAATGAGACCCGGTCCAATTGATGCTTATCTATTCAGTTTGATTGACGAGGATGCTAAAAGCATTGATCCAGGAAATTTTGAACGACACTGGGGAATATTTACTTTTGATGGGATAGCAAAATACCAGCTTAACCTTGGCAGCACAAATTCAGGGTCCTTAGTTCCAGCAAAAGGTGTGCACTATTTGGAGCGCAAGTGGTGTGTGATGAAGCCATCAGCGAACCTTGATGACCCACAAGTAGCACTAAGTGTGAGTTATGCTTGTGGACTTGCCGATTGCACCAGCCTTGGTTACGGAACATCTTGTGGCAGCTTGGATGCTCGAGGAAACATTTCTTATGCAGTTAATAGTTACTACCAGAGGAACAATCAACTTGATGTAGCTTGCAAGTTTCCAAACCTTTCAATGATCACCAAAACAAACCCATCAGTTGGATCTTGCAGATTTGAGATAATGATCGAACCATATTATGGCGGTGCAGGAAGGCGATTCGGGTGCCTCCAAAAGCCTCTAAGCCTGGTTGCACTTATCATTTTCTTTTCACTAACCGTTGTGTGAATTCCAAGGCTTTGGATTCATGAGGAACCACATTACCTAGACCATTCCATTTCATGTAGGATAACCTAGTGAAGGTAAAGAGCAATTGACCATGGCATAGTTGCAGTTCATGTGTTTGAAATTTGGAAAATTTGGAAGGTAGACAATGCAGTCAAGTTGTCAGCAATTTGCATATTTGAAACTAGAATTGCCTTGAATTATTTTCACCATGAAGAAAGTTTTGTCTTCTTTAGGAGTCTTGGGTGATAACAATGGAACTTCTCGCTTCAGCTGGGATTATTAATGGGATTGTGTGTTTTTCGTGACCCAGTAATTCCTTAATGGAATGAAATTGAGGGTGCTGAAAGTTCTACATTCTAAAAGTTCCTAGTCTAATCTATTAGTAGTTTTTTTTTAATAAAGAGTCTATCAAGCCAACCAAAAAAAAAAGCCCCACGGTACCTATGTATGCGAGTTTCCTTCCTCCTTAACTTGGGCAAAAAAACCCAAAAATAATTAACAAGACAACAGATTTGCATTGAGTAAAATGAAGCAACTCAATTGGTGAGCAAAATTAGACCATATAATTTTTAGGGTGCTGATTTTTCCGCTCTTTTTTTGTCCACTTATACTCCATTTTGTTTTTTATTACTTTTTACTATAACATACAAGGTAGTATAAGTGGACAAAAAATGAGTGGGAAAATCAGCTCTCAATTTTTATTGTTTATTATAATTTAGGGAAAAATACCATTAAAAAGGTTGTAGTGGATGCCATGGCATTTATTGCAATGTATGGGAAAAAAAACCCTTCATAAATGCCAGACAGAGCGAAAATGAATGTTACACAAGTTTTTAATAATGAGTAATATATTACTCTCTTTCTTTCTCATTATGTGACGAGTGAAAAAGAATGTTGTGGGGGCTTTTTTGTTCCGGCAGTTACAAATGGGATGGGCTGCCGTAAGGAGCAAATGAGTGAAATTACCCTTATGTCTAAGTTCAAGAATCAGACCCCAAGAATGGTTAGAAAGGGTAGTGAAGCCTTTAGAAGCACCCTAGTTATCTTCACCAACAAAAACAAAAACCGCTTACAGATAGATTTTTAGTTTGGCATGAGAAACTTGTGGCATGAAAGCAAAGTAGTCATGAGTTTAGCATTAAAGAGAGAGAGGGATGTGAGTTCCTATGAGAAATAGAGGTTTTCAAAGTAGAGGAGAATGAATTCTAAGAGGGTTCGTTGAAGAGAGAGATGTGGGGAAATAACAATGGGTGTGTTGAGTAGTTTCCGACAGCTTGACGAAAGCTCTGTCAAGCTCTAGAACAATTTACCAGAAGAGAAAATAGGAGGAGATGGAGGAATGGGGCTCGAAATTGCAGAGGTTTCAGGAATGAGAGATGAAGCTTGCTCTATGGATGTGTGTTGTGTTGATGGGTAGGAAATGTCTCTTTTTATATGCGCTGGAAGCTCATTCTTCCTAAGAAACCCTATATGGTTCCTCCCTAATCTGCCAAGTCTCTCCCTCCCTTTCTCTTCTCTTCCTTTGATTCATCTTTATTTTGTGAAATCTTCCTTAGTCCAAGCACTCAAAAATAAGATTTTTGGAGGCTCTAGAGCCTTCCCGCAGCTGTTCTAGTGGCAATCTCCTATCTTTGGTTACCATCTCTCTTTCTTTCCTCCCTTATTCATGGCAAGAGCTGGTAGGAGAAAGAGATGAGTAACAGTGTTGGTCTGAAGGGTGCTACGCGCTCTAATATTCTTTGGTTCTTTGAGTCGTTTGCCTTGAGTTTGTTTCTTGGCCATGTGTTGGAGACTCTCAATAGCTTACATGCATAGACATTTTTTGGCTTTTATCGTGGCCCTTATTTCCAGCTAAGTGCTGGAGGCTGCAGATATTTTCCTTGATTGCTTGGGCCTTTTTAAGGTGACAGGTTAACCCATTAAGAGAATGAGCTAATTTCCTAGAGTATTAGGTTATTTTTCCTAAAGTATTGGGCTATATTTTCTAGAGTATTAGGTCTTTTTCTCTCATTTATACTTACCCACATATTTGAGCTCAAAAAATGGGCTTGAGTTTCGGAGCTCCCAAGTAGCCCAAAACTTCCATTTCTCGACTCATCAATAGGCCTCATAAAAACTCGTTACCATCCATACCACAACCCACTTAGCTAGCCTCGGGCATTTGCATGGCTTGGGCCCACTTAAGCTTTTAACGTGGCTAGGTGCAAAATAAGGGTTTTCTGCTTGGTATTGCATGTTGATCGGCGTGCTCAAATTTTATCGCTTTGAAAAGGGATATGATGCTTGACGGAATAATTAGCATGGGCTTGTAGAGCCAGTGCATTTTATAGGCTCATTTCAATTCTTAGTGTGATGGATTGCATATTTATTTGACATGACACGTGATCATGGCTCGTGCAAGCATGCATGATGAATTTCGCGTGCTCGGAACAGGGTCTTTTCTTAATAAGGTGTCTCACTGGGCCGAGAATTTATTTGAGCCCAACCTTGGATTTTTTGGGCCTCAACAAATGTTACATACAAGTTTCCTCCTAGGGTTTTACATATTCTTCATATAATTTTTATAAACTATTTTTTACGAGAAACCAAAGGTCAATTACATACTTTTATTGCAATGGATTTGCATTTTAAACGTGAATTTTAAAAAAAAAAATTTGAATAAGAAGTGCAATCTTCCATGCCAAAGGCAATTGATATGACAAGCTTTAGGTGTAATTGCACGACTGCATGTAAATCAGCATGTAACGCTAGAAAACCGCCATCTTTAGTTAGTAAAGATTAGATTAGAGTAAGAGGAAAGAGATGAAGAGGTCGAGACAATTTAAGGATAATGAAAATTGAGAAAAATAGGTTTTGGTTTTCGAACGACAAAACCACCACTCAACTTTTTTATTCTACCTTCTTTCAAGCCATATTCATGAGCTGGGATTGGTTGTTGGCTTTTAGTTTATGTTTTGGTCCAATAAGTACATCAATTCTGTTTTGTTTGATGCGTGGTTGTGGTTTCTCTTCGGGAGAATTTGGGTTTGTAAGTTACGTTATAAGTGATGCACTTGGTTATTACATATTTGAAGCGATTAATCTCGACTATCTGTGGCCCTGTGCAACATTAAGTTGACCTGCGTGACTTTAAGTGGAGGTATACCATATAAGTTTGATGCTATGACTAGATCCCTCCATGTTTGGTGTAGTCCTTTACGAGCATTTGTTCTAGCCCTTGAGGCTTTTATATTTGTACTGCGCTTATGGCATAATTTATAAATACAAAATCCCTAGCATTTGACCCAAAAAAAAACTTTTTTTTAAAAACAAAAAACAAAGCAGCACATTCCAGACACAGCGCTGGCTTGGCTGGTCTAATTAATATGAAAGAGATTTAATTAATTGAATGAAAAAGCGCGTTGCAGTTTTTGTAATTTTTGTAATTATTTTATAAATAAAATAAAATTGTGTGAATGCATATATATATATATATATATATATATGGAATAAGAATAACAGTGAGAGAGTGGGTAGGATACGATAGATAACACCCAAGACTTCCCCCGTCCCTGGTGCAATAAAATGTCAATAACATCATCAAATATTATTAGAAAATAGAAAAAGGAAAGTGAGAGATAGAACAAGACTGTAACAAGACTGAGAAGAAACAAGAGGTCTTTGCTTCCTTCCTTCCTTCCTCTGCGCTGTTCGATCTCTCTTCATTCGGACTTGAGGTACGCTTTGTCTTAGATAATCGATTGAATTATGAAATAAGTGGGTTTTCCGTCTGTGGTTTGTGCTATTCGGAATTTAGCTTCAGCTTTGTGTTTCCGGAGATCAGATTCAAATTCCAATTTTTTCAACTTGTATTCTCCTTGATTTCCTACTACGAGAATTAGCTTTCGATTTTGTCCAATTTCTTTCCTTCTTTCATTTCCTATAATTGGTTTTGGGCTATCCTCTTTTTCGGAAAATTGTTATGATTGCTTCTATATATTAATTAATAATTTGAAATTTTCCATAAATATATTTGCTTAATTGCCCTTCTTGATTGAGATTATTTGGCAAGAATCAACCTAAATTTGCCGTTTTCGGCTCACTTAAACATCGGAATTCAGCCTTAATGCTACTACTCCTAAACAGTCTTGTCTTCTACAGTTTCCATATGTGGTAACGATTCGGTTCTTAATATTCTTGTAACCATAAATCTGTATTTTTATTTCTAAAAGAAAAGAAAAAAAATCAACCACTGCTGGTCTTTGCTCGTTGCATGATCCAATCTTAGAAAACCAGATACTGAAGAAACTTGTGGTTCCATTTTGATTTCAGGGGCTTGAAAAAAAAAGGGGGGAGTCGAGTACTTTGAAATTTGAAATTCTGATGCTGAAGAAGTAGGGCAACTTTGAAAGTTTTGCTTTTCTGTGGTAGAAGGAAATGTTGGAGGGTGGTGCCAAATTCCCTGGAATTATAGGTCTAAACAACCATGACAACAACTACTATGATTTGTCGCAAGGCTTTTACCACAAACTCCATGAGGGTGAGGGTGAGGGTACCAACATGTCTATTGACAGTATGCAAACGAGCAATGATGGAGGCTCTGTTGCCATGTCTGTAGATAACAGCAGCGTTGCTTCAAATACTAACGATTCCCATACTCGCATCTTGAACCACCAAGGGTTACGGCGACGTGCAAATGACAACTACTCTGTCCAAACCAGTGTTAACCGCCGAGGAAGAGTCACACATGCTCTGAGCGATGATCAGCTTGCTCGAGCCCTAATGGACAGCCATTCCTTGACACAGGGGCTTGAGAATTACGAAGAGTGGACAATTGACTTAACAAAGCTAAACATGGGTGAAGCTTTTGCACAAGGTGCTTTTGGGAAGCTATATAGAGGTACTTACAATGGTGAGGATGTTGCTATTAAAATTCTGGAGCGGCCAGAAAATGACCCAGAAAAGGCCCAGGTCATGGAGCAACAGTTTCAACAGGAAGTCAAGATGCTGGCTGCATTGAAACATCCAAACATAGTTCGTTTTATTGGTGGCTGCCGTAAACCAATGGTTTGGTGTATTGTAACAGAGTATGCTAAGGGCGGTTCAGTTAGGCAGTTCTTGATGAAGCGGCAGAGCCGATCAGTTCCGTTGAAATTAGCAGTCAAGCAAGCTTTGGATGTTGCGAGGGGGATGGCATATGTTCATGCTCTTGGGCTGATTCATCGTGACTTAAAATCTGACAACCTGTTGATTTTTTCAGACAAATCAATAAAAATTGCTGATTTTGGGGTTGCCCGTATTGAGGTGCAGACAGAAGGCATGACACCAGAGACTGGGACGTACCGTTGGATGGCTCCGTAAGACTCTTTTTTTACTATTTATCTATGATTTCTTATCCTTTTACACTATCATTTCCCCTTTTCTTATTTTTTAACTTATATTTTATTATAAGATAGAGTTAAATTTAATGATCTTTGGGTTAAATGATGTTTCCTTACATCATGAGTATGATGTCTTGGGCTCAAATCTCATTGGGTGCATGAGTAGATTTTCCGTATAAAAGGAAGAAAAGCATTTAAAAAAAGTAGATGCTTTGCTTCATGTTGTCATCTATTATCATGTTGGTTTAATCTGCATTACATGTGTTGGTTCATCTGGACTGTGATAATGAGGGACGCATTTGGTGTCTAGAAACTTGTCTTTACCAAAACCGTCTCTATCCCTCTTATACATTACAAACTCTTATATTGCGAGGAAGTCTTCTTTTGACATACTTTAAAAAAAAAACCCATTTCCGTACTTTAATTACTTCAGCTCCCTATTTAAGTTTCCTCACAAAATCCCACATTATTTGTCTTATTATCCCCTTTCTTGTTATTACTAAAACTTTTACGTTCCCTGATACGAGAGACAAGCAGAGTCACACGTGTAGGAGGGATCATTTTGATTTGTAATGGTTTTTAAAAAGTTTTCAACCTTGAGTTGCTTCTTCTTGGTGGACAAACATTTCATTTTGGCTTGCATTTGGTTGAGATTCATGTGTACCCATGTCTGACAAGTTCCCAAATTTACTTATATTGGAAATTACTTGCCCAAATGATTGAAATGAGAGACATTGACTATCTGTGAAATGATTGAAATGAGAGACATTGACTATCTGTGAAATGATTGAAATGAGAGACATTGGCGATTGAATTAAGTTATTTGTGAAATGATTGAAATGAGAGACGTTGACTATCTGTTTCTGTCTCTGTAGTGATGCTCCTGTGTTCTTAAGGGATATCTCTTAGAGTTTTTTTCCCTTCTGGTGCTGGTGTAAATTCTTCTTTTTTCTTTTGAATATATAAGTGGTTGATCCTTGGAACTTTTGTGACTATTTATTTTCGTGTTTCCAATGTGAGTTGCAGTTGTTGATCTTTAATGTCTTTCATTGTGTTGACTAGATTTCGTAAATTTACTTATTGATTTCTTGAATTTGACAACTTTATGTTTTCTTAGTGCTGGGCCTGATGGCATGACAGGGAGTGAAACTGAGAGAGAATGGAGTGAAGGATAGTCATTTGAGAAGAGGCCAAGTAGGAAAACTCAATTCGATAATTCTCAAATGAATATGACATTTGAGAAACTCTATCATAATAAATTGAAACATAATAATAAAATCCGTAAGCATTATATCTTATATTCTAGTTTGAATAAATCAAAGAAAAAGCATAGAACAAATGCTAAAGGAAAAGCAAAAACTTACTGTGAGACAGGGACCCATGTGATGCATGTGTGGTTGTGTCAGCGGCAACATTGATATCTGGAATGGACTGATCTCAAGGTGAGGTGCATTTGATGCTGGGTTTTGTTCCACTTGATGCTAAACATGGAGAGATTAGGAAACAACAGAAAGGCATAGATAAATAGATGTCAAAGAAAGAGAAGAAAGAAAGACAAAATGGAGTAAACTCGATTCAATACTTCTCAAATCATCATGTTAAATTCTGAAACCATGTTTACAATCCGGATTGTTGATGTGGCAATCCTGTAATGACTACAAAAAACCCTAATAAGAAATTGATAGTTAAACCTTTTATTTATACATTTTTAAATGAGCATTATCAAAGTCTAGATCTTCATTATTAGGTGCTTAGATCAGGTGCTGATCGCCATTCATTGGTGGTTTAATTAGTATCAATCCTGGATCCTCTTTACCCTGAATAAGCAGTGTATCAATCCTGGATCCTCTTTGCCCTGAATAAGTGGTGTCTGCATCTGTATGCAATAGTGTGAACTGAGCAGAATATTGAATAGCAGACATGAAATACATTTTCAACTAGCTCTTCAGAAAGGATATTGACTCTGGAGACAATGGTTACATGGATATATGTGCGCTAGATATCAATTGTTTTCTTCTGTATACGATGCGACTATTAAAATATCAGTTACCATGCGAATTAAACTGAAAACTGAATTTCGGTCATCTAAGTTATTGTTGTCTGTTGTCCGGTTGTGTCATTGCACGCTCCGATTAAAAACAAACTCTATATGCATTAGGTATTAAATAAACTAGTTTAGAATCACTTCCTAGTACATTCAGTTTTTGCCTTTATATGCCCTGGAAAAAGTGTATCATTTTAACTGTGGCCAATTTTATCTGTACGAGGATCAGCATGTACTGTATGTAAAATTTAACAAAAATTAGATCTTAAATGAGATACTTGGTATAATAAAAGTTATGGAAGTTAAAGTACATGCGACTGGAAGTTAAAAATTGTTAAAAAATTTAACTAGGGGCATTTGTTTCTCTGCGTGCAAAATATTCATTAGAGGAAAACAACTTGGAAACAATAACCACTTGTAAAATCTCTTTTTAGTATCAGATCAAGTGTTGAAAATTGGTGAACTATGGGATTATTCATAGCTCTTTAGCATTATAACCATTTACTCTTCCCTGGGGAAGACATATGCCTGCAAATGAACATGGAGATTGAGAAACCTGCATTATCTCATCTAATAATTTGAATGAAATTGGGAACTTTCACTTTTATTGCGTGAAGAATGATGCTCTCTCTTGGGTTTCTTATTTGTTGTTTTCCAAATTAGTTGCTACGTGTTTGGCACCTGCCCCAAATACATTGCTTGGTGTAGTTGAATTAAACAGAGGCTTGTTAGTGGTGTGATCAAATAGATTCATGAATAGAATTACATGTAGAAATGGGTAAATGAGAACCAGAAAAACTGAAATTGCTGATTAAGATTTTAAATTGTAAATCAATTGTTTTGTGAACTTTGTTTTTTCTTGATAACTGCTAGTGGGAAATTTTTCAGTTAAATTCCTGGTGTACAGTATATGGATTGCCCGTCTCTTTTTACTGTTTTCGAAATGTAAATCAGTAATGATCTTTGATGATGACAACTTTAGAGAGACGTTACTAGCATCTGGTGTTCATTGGTTATTTCTTGAACTCTTATACTTTTTTGGTGTGCGGTACTTTGTGTGCATTGCTTTATCGTATGGCTATCTGCAGGGAGATGATCCAGCATAGGCCTTACACTCAGAAAGTTGATGTTTATAGCTTTGGGATTGTTCTTTGGGAGCTTATAACTGGAATGCTTCCCTTCCAGAACATGACAGCAGTGCAGGCGGCATTTGCAGTTGTCAATAAGGGTGTCAGACCTATCATTCCCAGTGACTGCTTACCTCTTCTTGGCGAGATCATGACGAGATGCTGGGATGCCAACCCTGATGTCAGGCCACCCTTCACTGAAGTTGTGAGGATGCTTGAGCATGCAGAGACTGATATCATGACGAATGTCCGCAAGGCCCGTTTTAGGTGTTGCATGACGCAACCAATGACAGCGGACTGACCCCAGAAGAAAAATTGGAAAACTAAACAGTTATCTATAGCATAAAGAGAAAAACAAAAATGGAAAAGGAGAAAAAGAAGTGAGAGAAGGTATTGTAGCCTTGTGTATTTATCAGGTTTTATTTCTTTCTCAAGATAGAAAAGGAAGTGTTATTAAAAAATATTTGGTTTTCAGATCTCTATTTTAATGAATTTCTATCTTTGAATGAGTAATAGAAGAGTGCTCTATACTTACCCTCTGCCTTAGTTATATATTCTATCAAGAAAATGCAGTTTCTTTTGCGCCCCTCCTATCCTATTAATCAAGCGAAAGCGCAATTCGTCTCGGGGGAACAATCTAGTCAAATGCAGGTTGAACCAGATTCTCTTCTTTGTAACAGTACTCCTCCGAATGGTTGGCCTTTAGCGTTGGATCGAGGCAGCCTCTTCCGATTTAGCACATCTCTCTTGCCCTGTTATATGTGAGGATAAGATGCGGATACTCTTGTGAGCCGTCAGATTAAAATAGTGGCTCAGATTTAAAATTTTATTTGGACTACTAACCGTCAAATTACATTTTGTAAAGCCATAGGCTAGTTGGCCAAGGCAGTGTGTCCTCCTTCAGTTTGAATATCACTTTGTAAAATAATAAAAATTAATAAAAATCATACCTTGAAAGTTTGTTATCCATGCCCACATCCAACATTTTACACTCTTTTATGGCACGTAACAATTTGGTCATGTTTCTTTAAAAGTTGAAAATAATAATAAACAAGGCCAAATTACATTTTGGTCCCCATAATTTGACTCACTTTTTACTTTGATTCTCGTCATTTCAATTTTGTCAAGTTTAATCCTGTAGTTTTGTTTAGGTAGCAACCAAGTTCTGCAACTGTAAAATTGTTAAGAAAAATAGAAGAATTGATAATCTTTTAGGTTGAATTCAAAAGTTTTGGAGGGATGTGATGGAGTTTACGATTTGGACTTGATTGCAAAGGAAATTAAAGTACATGATTAAAATTGTCAACCTCAAAATGGCAATGACCAAAGTGGAAAATAAGTCAAACTACTTTGATAAAAAAAAATGCGACATGACCAAAAAAAAAAGAAAAAGAAGATAAAAATTATAAAACTGTTACGCCAATATGTTCATGTTATGAACTTTTTCGGAGCCAACATTTAAAGTTTTAATCTTTTCTTTAGACACTTCAAGGCCAAGTTTGAGCTTTTTATTCCCATCTTGCAAAGTTTCGCAAAGTTCGGTGATCTCAACCAAACTCGACTCTTTTGGGGTTTTGGTTATTTTGGATTTTGTGATTTTTGCTTGAGATAATGTTTAATTATAGTGATTTGGGCTATGTAATTATTTGTGTGGTTTTTGTCCATTTTAGTTTTGCCTTTTCTATATATTAGTTTTGTTGCCCTTTTGGAAATGGCTCTTTAAATGTCATATTGATGTTTATGTTATATTGTCCTCACTCACTTTATTTTCCCACCTATCATATAAATTAGAAAAGATACAATCATATTTTTTCATCAACCATTATTCCTAAAATATCCATTATCTTTACACCCACCAAGTAAATAATAATATATGATTAATTAATTAATAAACAATATAAAATACTCAACAACAAAAAAAAACTATTTCTCTCGGTTCTACCCGATCCCCTCCCCACAGCCCAGCACCGTAGCCACAAAACTCAACCCTTATGCTGCTCTCTCTCTCTCTCTCTCTCTCTCTGTGTTGAGAGGTGTAGACTTTGAGAGCCTAGAATTGCTGGGCTGATTCAAATCTCAGTTAAAAGTCCCTTCATATTATTAATACTGAAAATTTGGGGGGGATCTGCTTGGGATCTTTTGATTGTGGGGTGGTGACTATTAAAGAAACGAAGAGGAAAAATAGAGATGTGCCCTGGCAGAGGCGAAGAGACAGTCAGATGATGGTCGAGGTGGGGTTAATCTTTTTAATTTTTTATATATTATCTTGGTTTTTTATCACAAATGGTCATTCACATTTACGAAATTATCACGAATGGTCCTTAAGGCTTTTTTGTGACACTAATAGTCCTTAACGTTTGTGTTTTTTATCACAAATGGTCTCTGCAGTTATAAATTCTGTTAAATGTGACATGGAAGATAAGTAGAGTCTACATGTCCAATCACATTGTGACACGTGGATAAAAAAATAATTTTTAAAATTTTAAATAAAAATTCCTTCATTTTTTTTCTGCAACTTTTCATCCCCCTTCCTTACTCCTTCTCTCTCCTACTCTGCCCCCACTCTCCACCCTTTGCTCTCTATCTCTTCTCCCTGTCCTCTCCTTCTCCCTCTGTTTTTTTTCTTTCCCACTGCCACCTGCAAGAAAAAATATAAGATATACTGTTGCTCTCCAACTATAACCTACAGATTGCTATTTGTCAATCTAATAGAGTGGCTCTAATCAACAATAAAACTTATTCATTTTGTATATAATTAAGGCTACCAAAGATTGGCTGATGCAAAAAACGAAACTTGAAAGCGTGATGTTCGTTCGTAAACTTGACAAACTAATTTCCAGTCCCAACAGATTCCAACTTTTAGAGTAGGCAACATAATCCCATATGTGAGAATTGTAAGCACTTCAATCTTTGAGACAAATTTCTTGTTTTGGGTTTACAAATTCAAGTGAAGTAAGCATTCAATCTTCAATCTAATTGAGTGTGCTTAATTACAGAGCATGAAAAATACCAATTGACAGTGCTCAAGTGATGTAATGAGGCTAAAGAAAATGATTTTCATTAAAAATAGAAAAAGGAAAAGGCAAAAGAAGCAGAGGGTTGGGTGACCTGGTGAGCAGGAGAAAGTTGATGAATGGTTGTGGGACAGATATCATCAACGGACACTCCATATGCCTACAGCCATCCCCTCGTAGTCTTCCATGTAGTCCCCCAATACCAACAACACCTGCGTTCACCTTTCGCCATTTTCTTGGAATTTGAGAGAGAGAGAGAGAGAGAGAGAGAGAGAGAATTTGGTTGGACTAAACTCTCAGATGGATAAAGAAATAGAATATGTTAAAACGTATAGCTGGGCGGCAGTGGGAAAGAAAAAAACAAAGGACGGAGAAAAGTTGCTGAAAAAAAATGGAATTTTCATTGAAAAATTATATAATTTTTTTTATCCACATGTCACAATGTGATTGGACATGTGGGCCCCACTTATCTTCCATGTCACAGTTAACATAATTTATAACGGCATGGACCATTTGTGATAAAAAGTTCAAACGTTAAGGACTATTAGTGTCACAAAAAAACCTAAAGGACCATTCGTGATAATTTCGTAAACGTGAAGGACCATTTGTGATAAAAAGTCTATTATCTTTTATTCATTTTTAATTAGTTTTAATGTTTTTTTCTCAAGTTCTTGGAAGTCATTTTATAAATGGGTATATTTGTCTTTAAAATTTTGAAGATAAGATAGGTGGAAATAACAGCACTCTATATTGTTGAATGTTATTTAATGAAGTTGCTCTTTAATAAAGAAATAACAAATTAAACTCAAGAAAACGGGTTTGTTTGGTATTCAACTTGAATCTAACTTTTAAACTCAAAAACAAAATTTGAGTCAAAACAAAGAAAATATGTTTGGTGACCCTATTTAAAAAAACTCAAACTCAAAAACAATTAAAAAAACACTCCAATTATTAAAAACAAAAAATATCTGTTTTTTCAGTTTTTTTCTAACAACCTACAATTTCTCAAATTTTTAAGATTTAAAAACAGTTTTTAAGTTTCATACCAAACAAGTTTTTGAATCATAAAAGTAGATTTAAGAACTCCTTATTTTAAAGAAAAATAAAAGTTTTTGAGTTTCCTATTTGAATAGGATACCAAACGCCTTACTCATAAAATTTACTCAATTCAAGTTCTTTCTCATGCATCTTGTCATTCAAACACGAATTATCAATCACAAAATTAGCATCATTAACAAAAGCATGAAATTTATCACTCAAAGAAGAATTTTCACGTTCAAGCACAAAATTCCAGTCAATTGAACACACAAAGAAGAATTTTCGTTTTTACCACTCAACTTTCTCATCCTTTAGAATAGTCAACTGTTTGGACAACTTATCAAAAGCTTCGTATAAATCTTCATTACTAATACCTCACCTCCTTCATTAGATTCACTTTCACTTTCACTAGCTTATGCTAGTATTAAATTATATTAATGAAAGCGTGTTTTGTAGTTAGAGTTTTTTCCAGAAACGATAAAAAGTAAAACATTATATCATCGCAACAAAAAAGTTTACCTGAATGAAGAGAGAGGGTGCGATTCATTACACGCAAGACTTTCCTCTTGTAATAAAATGTAAAAAGAAAAAACATTAATTATAGAAAACAAAAAAAAGGAAAGTGAGAGATAGAAGAAAGGACGACTTGGGAGACTGAGAAGAAGAGGTCTTTGTTTCCCGTGTCGTCGATTCCATTCGATCTTCTTCAATCGGAGATTGTTACCGTGGATTGACTGAGGTACGTTTTGTCATAGCTCTCTTCAATCAGAGCAAAGCTGGAATTTTGCTGGCAGCTTGTGTTTCCGGGGATCAGAATCAATTTCCCATTTTTAAGACTTTTCGTATTCTGTGATGTCCTTTTACTCCTCTTCATAGGAATGAACTGTCGATTTCTTTGTTCTTTTTGTTAAATTTCAGATTTTTTTCTTTCTTAATATTTGTTTTGGGTGTGTTCTTTGATTCCCTATTGCTGATGAGGACCCATGTATTGTTCTTAAGAATTAGTAAATTTCCATATATATTTGCTTGACTGTCGTTCTTGATTGAGTTGATTTGGTGGTGTGAATCAAGTTAAAATATACCATTCTCGGTTCCTTTAAACTTCGGAATTTCTGCCAAAATGATGCTAGTCCTTGAGAGTCTTGTCTTGTACAGTTTCCACATATGGTAGTAATTTAAATATCACTATTATAGTAATCGTAGAGTTCTGTATTGCTGGCCGTTGCTCGTTATATGATTCAATTTCGAAAATGGTATGGTTAACAAATTTTCGTGGGTCAATTATTTTCTCTTTTCAGGGTTTTGAGAGAGAAGGGCGTGTTGAGTTTGAAATTTGAAATTTTGTATGCTGAAGGAGTAGGGAAATTTTGAAGGGTTTGCTTTTTTCTGGGAGAAGGAAATGTTGGAGAGCGGTGCCAAATTCACTGGAATAATTGGTCTAAACAACCATGATAACAACTTTGATGATTTGTCGCAAGGCTTTTACCACAAACTCCATGAGGGTGAGGGTACCAACATGTCCATCGACAGTTTGCAAACTAGCAATGATGGAGGCTCTGTTGCCATGTCTATAGACAACAGCAGTGTTGCTTCAAATACTAATGATTCTAAAACTCACATCTTGAACCACCAAGGGCTGCGACGACGTGCAAAGGATAACTACTCTGTTGCACAGAGTGTTAACCGCCGAGGAAGAGTCACACATGCTCTTAGTGATGATCAACTTGCTCGAGCTCTAATGGACATCCATTCCTCGACAGAGGGGCTTGAGAATTACGAGGACTGGACAATTGACTTAAGAAAGCTAAACATGGGTGAAGCGTTTGCACAAGGTGCTTTTGGGAAGCTATATAGAGGCACTTACAATGGCGAAGATGTTGCTATCAAACTTTTGGAGCGGCCAGAGAATGACCCAGAAAAGGCCCAGCTGATGGAGCAACAGTTTCAACAGGAAGTGATGATGCTGGCTACGTTGAAGCATCCAAACATAGTTCGTTTTATTGGTGCCTGCCGTAAACCAATGGTTTGGTGCATTGTAACTGAGTATGCTAAGGGGGGTTCAGTTAGGCAATTCTTAGCAAAGCGGCAGAGCCGATCAGTTCCATTGAAATTAGCAGTCAAGCAAGCTTTGGATGTTGCGAGGGGGATTGAATATGTTCATGGGCTTGGGTTGATTCACAGGGACTTAAAATCTGACAACCTGTTGATTTCTTCAGACAAATCAATAAAAATTGCTGATTTTGGGGTTGCCCGTATTGAGGTGCAGACGGAAGGAATGACACCAGAGACTGGGACGTATCGCTGGATGGCTCCGTAAGACTTCTGACTCTTGGGCTGAAATATCTTATCCTTTGTTGCCATCATTGGCTTATCTACTTTATTTTAACTTTTGGTATCCCATTTCATTGCCTTTATATGCTTTAACATCTTCTATTTAATATGCTTTCTCAATTCTAGTATTGCCTTCTGTTATAGAACTTTTATTTCAGTATGTTAAAGTTGTATGAATTTCTTAAATATAACTTTTTTTTGGCATATAAATGATTATTAGAATTTGGTACTGATAATTGGTCTCTTCTCTACTTTGTTTCTTTTGTCATTGTTTGCTAGGAGACGTGTACCCTACCCTGTATCTGATTATGCTTCTAGTTTTATTTTTTTGGTTGGTCTCTTTAACATTGACTGATATGGTTTTGTCTATGACCATCATGCTAGGAACTCTCAAATCTCATTTGTGGCATGAGTAGTTTTCCACGTAAAAGGGAAAAAAAGATAAAATATCCCAAGTAGATGGAGTTTTTCGTACATTCATCTATCATGATGTTGGTTTCGCTCATCTATACACTGTGATAATGAGGGATTCATTTGATGTCTGCAATTTTGTGTTTCCCCCAACTATCCCTATCCTCTTATACATTACAAACTCTTCTATTAGAGGATAATCTTGTGTTTTTTGTGTAGTTCAAGAAGAAAGAAAAAAAATTACCGTACTTTCATTGTTTTCGTATCCTATTTAATTTACCCCCACAAACTGTCCCACATTATTTTCTTACTTTATTTTGTCATATGATCCCTTTTGTTTTTGTTTTTGTTTTTGTTTTTTTACTTTTATATATCAACCCGTGTTACATGAAACAAGCAAAGTCACACATGTGCCGTGGGGGGTTATTTTATTTCTAAGTGGTTTTTATAATGGTATCCAATCTTGACTTCCCTCTTATGTGAGTGAATAGTTAATTTTCCATGTTCCAATATCTGTTTATAATAGTTTCATTCATATATGAGGCATCTCTCTTTTTTTCCATTACACACAATACTTAAGAATTCTCTGTTTTAAAAGGTAAAAAAATAAATTGATTTCTTTGAAATGAAAGACATTGACTTCTATGTGTTTGTGTCTGTGTTAATGAATTTTCTTGCAGTGCCGGTTTGAATTCTGCATAACATTCTTCTTTCATTCAAATGTATTCTCACGTTTAAAATGTGAATTACATTTATTGATTTCTAATGTCTTGTTGTCTAGATTTCTTGATTTTTAGTACTAATTTTTTTCTATATGAAACCTTTTTGTCTTCTTAATGATGGGCCTGAGTGGAAAAGAAAGGATGATCTCTTCGAGTTTGTTGTGGAATGAGAGGGAGGGAAATCAAGAGAGATGGAGAGAAGGATAGAATAGAGGTTGAAGAAGAGAGAGGAGAAAGAGAGGCAAAATAGGCAAACTCAACTGAATAATTCTCCAAATGAATGTCCCTTGAGAGAGTGAGACGTAAATTAAAGAAATTAATATTTAAATTCATATGTTATGGCGATTATCAAACCTTAATTTCTAGTTTTACTAAATGAAAAGCTTAAGATATACCTAATTCATAAGTTTGTACCTTCCCCTCCTAACATAGTTAAGTATCCTTCTATTTCTTTCCGCCCAAACTACCTAAAAGACAGCATCACAGCACACCTCCCTTAGCACCACTCCCTTATTCTTCTCTATTAAAAAAAGAAACCTCTCACACAACAAAGCAGCGCACGAGACCGGAATCATCCAACTCAAAAAAGCCTCCCTAAACAACGTAACCACAAAGATAATGCAATTGAACAGTGAATAAGCACGTGGTCGAAACTGTCAGCACCACTTTTACACATTACACACCAATGAGGAGACCAACAAGAAGAAGGTGGGTCTCCTCTGAATATCAAACTATTTAATCTCCTGTGAACGATTATCCATGCTACCACCCTTACCTCAGGAGGTACTTTAGCCTTCAAAATTATATGAGAGGGAAATACATGGAGAGAGAAAATTTGTCCATTAGTTGCCTTGAAGGGGATTTACCAGAGAAAATCCTTTTCAAGGCAACTAATGGGTGCCTTTTATCTTTCTCGACTTTTTTCTCTCTGAATGGTGTGCTTCTATTTGAAATGTTGCTTTGACTTTCTTGTCTTTTTTTTTTTTGGGGTCAACCGACTCTTGTCTTCAATGTCATATTTTTCTTGATTCTACACACTTTATTTCCTCATGCCATCAGATCAACCATGGCCTTGTTCTTTTCTTTTAAGAGGATTTACCAGAGAAAATCCTTTTCAAGGCAACTAATGGGTGCCTTTTATCTTTCTCGACTCTTTTTCTCTCTGAATGGTGTGCTTTCTATTTGAAATGTTGACTTTGTCTTTTTTTTTTTTTTTTTTTTTTTTTTGGGTCAACCGACTCTTGTCTTCAATGTCATATTTTTCTTGATTCTACACACTTTATTTCCTCATGCCATCAGATCAACCATGGCCTTGTTCTTTTCTTTTATTTTTTGTCCTTGTTTCCAAACTTTTTTCTTTTTTTATTTTTCATCGTATTTTGGAATGTTCTTGCTCCAATTGATCTTCTCAGCTTTGGCAGTAGTTCTCATTGCCTCCAAAGATTCTCTTTTAATAGAAATGTCTTTATCCATTATATACAAAGATATTTTTCCCCCTACATGAGAATCTTTTTCTTTAATAGCTTTTGGATTTTTCTCAACAATCTAAGCCCTTAATTAATAGCTAAATTTTAACAATTGGATCATCCTGGATTTTCTTATTGAATGAAGAAATAAAATCAAGAATTAGATAACTGTAAAAGTCTCATCAAATTGAGAGGCTCTCTATGACGAAAGTAACCTAGGGTGGGACCTGAAATGCTCATTAATGAAAAACTATATATCCATCCAAAGTACCTATCTTAAAGACATTATAAAACATCCATGTACCACATCCTTCGACAACCCTTTGGTATTAATCATGCGGTAACGAGGTTTGATTTAATTTAGGAAATGTGACAATGCATACAATTTAAATAACACACACTGTATTTGATACTAACCAAGAGGGTCTGAATCAGCCCATGGTTCATTCCTTTCAGTTGTTGATGTGAATGAAATAGTAACACAGAACTCAAATTGTATTCAAGCCCTTTTTGCATTTCACCCCCACCCGGACACACACAAAAAAAAATGAAAAACCACAGAATAACTTTTTTTCTAGAATAGCATACTAATCAATCCTTAATAATTAAAACTCTAAATCATGATATTAAATAAACCTTAAATTGTAATGTTAATAAATACAGACTTAATTAAAGCTGTGCCTATGGATAAAATAAATACTGGTTTTCTTCTTGTATCGGTCATGAGGAAATTTCCTTTGTTGTTCCATTCTTTATGATATGTCTGATGAATGACCCGCTTTACATTTTTAAGAGGGTTATACATTGCGAGACAATACCTACTGTTATTGTTATTAGAATCAAAAGTTATTGTGTGCAATGTAATTATGGGGTCACTCACGCTATTACCCAGTTACTTAGATATGATGGTGACTACACTTGATCGGTAGTGTAATTAGAATTGGTCCTGGATCCTCTTGACCATGAACTCAGAAGTCTCCATATCTGTAAGCAATAGTGTGAACTGAAAGAAATTTTAAGTCTTGTTTTAGAATTTCGATGAGGTGTTTTGGTTCCAAATGTTGGGAGCAGATCAGATTACATTTTCAACTAGGGATTTGGAAAGTAATTTGACTCTGGATCCTATAGTTACACGGATAATTTGTGATGTGCACCGTGTGAAATGCATTTATATCGATTGTGTATTTATGAAGGTAGCTCTAGTGCTCTAACCTGTTTCGTTTTTGCATAGGATGCATTCTACAAATAGTGTCCAATTCCATTATGGTTTATTCTAATAATCTTTTTCAGGTCTTCTTTTTGATATTTTATAATAGTTATATTTTTAATCAAGAAAACTCATGTTCGAAAGGCTTACGCCTTGCCTTGTGGGACTGAAAACGCCTTGCCTTTGAAAATGTTGGTATTAGCTATTACGTATCTATCAGACTAGCATAATTTTCAATTTCCACTTCATTTGCATGTGAGAAACCTGTGTTGTTCTCATCTAATAATTTGAATGAAATTGGAAACCTTCTCTTTCATTGCCCGAAGAATGATGCCCTCTCATGGGTTTCTTAATTAACGCTTGTTAGTTGCATGACCAAATAGTTCATCAGTATTGTGTCTTTTCGGTTGTATATCAATATTGTTTCATGAAATTTGTTTTTCTTGAGGACTGCTAATGGGAAATTTATTAATTAGCTTCCTGGTGTACAGAATGAGGATTGAACTTAAAGGTTTGCTCTTTTGTTACGGTTTGCACAATGAAATTGATAATGATCCTTCATCATGTAGCGACAACTTTAGATGCTTGTGACTAGCATCATTGTGGATTGTTTTTTGGTTATTTCTTAAACTTTTATTTTAGTGCGGGCTACTTAAGTGCATTGCTTGATTGTATTTGCTGTCTGCAGGGAGATGATCCAGCATAGGAAATACACTCAGAAAGTTGATGTTTATAGCTTTGGGATTGTTCTTTGGGAACTTATTACAGGGATGCTTCCATTCCAGAACATGACAGCAGTGCAGGCAGCATTTGCAGTTGTGAATAAGGGTGTCCGTCCTATCATTCCCAGTGACTGCTTACCTGTTCTTGGCGAGATCATGACACGATGCTGGGATGCCAACCCTGATGTCAGGCCACCCTTCACTGAAGTTGTGAGAATGCTTGAGAATGCTGAGACTGAGATCATGACAACTGTTCGTAAGGCCCGCTTCAGGTGTTGCATTACCCAACCAATGACGATGGACTGACCTCAGAAGAAATAATGGAAAAGAAAACAGTAATGTATAACATAAAGAGGAAAAAGGAAATGGAAAGGAGAGAGAGGTGAGGTGAGAGAAGGGAATTATATTGTAGCCTTGTGTATTTATCAGGTTTCATTTCTTTCGTAAGATAGATAAGGAAGTGGTGTTAAAAAATATTTGGTTTTTGGGATTTCTATTTGATTGAATTTCTGACGCTGAATGAGTAATAGAAGAGAGAATTGATGTGTATGTATGCATCTCTTGTTTTGCTATGTTTGCTAATAGTCCATCATCACCACGACAAACGGCTGCACCCTGCTACCAGGGTGTCCGCTGTAGCAGAGGAAGCTGAAAAGCCCGATATTTTCTATAGAGTTAATATATATCATCTAGATGCAGCTTCTTTTGTGGGCATCAGCTCATCAAGCGAAAGACGCTGACTTACTGGCAAATCGATAATTCCTGTCAAAAGACACTGGCCCGGTAGTAGCCCTTTCCTTCCTTTGAGGTGGCTTCTCTCAACTACCAATATTTAATGACTTGATGTCATCTTAATCCAAATGGTAAGAGTCCACAGGTAGAACTTGTCTCTAAAAACGGCTTGTAAGGGAATGGTGTCCATGAGCTCTTAAATCACTCTATGATATATTTTAACAACGTGGGATCTTAAGTCCTAACAGCCTGTGTTTTTAATTCTAATATATATTTAAGTATCCACATATTTCATAATTGTTACCGATTTTAACGTTTAGCTTTTATGTGAGATTTTCCGCATTTAAATCTTTGGACTTGTTCTAGTATCCATATAATGAACAAAAAACCTTCTGAGTTGAAACAAACAAACTCATGAAGACATCAACTAGTTCTTAGTCTAATGATATAATATTATGAAATAGTCCTACGTTTGAATCGTCACTTCCCTATTAATAAATAGTTAGATAAATTACATTTGGTTTAGTGACACTCAGTCTCCACTTTATTGAAGGAGATCCTAAGTTTAAATATCATAGACCATGTTGTTGAATAAAAAATAAAAATAAAAATCTACCTAAACTACAAAGAATCTAAATAGTGCAAGGGTGCATTCGCTTTGAATGATTAAGAAGATGATGGGTTGAAAAAAAATAAATTCTGATGAAGGATTGAGTTGAAGGTACGAGGGATATTGTATTTTACCAAATACCAAAGCCTTATAAACTTGAGCTAATAAACAATTGCAAGTTATCAAGTCTACTTCTCCAAACAACTACAAACACTCATCTTTGTCCTCATCAAGCCATGGATTCTGCTTAGGCCTCCCAACATTGTTAAGAGCTTTCCAAACGACGCTGTTACACTTGAACCCTGAGCCAAAAGCGAGTTGCCAAACCCGATCACCCCTCTTGATCTTGGAAGTTGCCTCTAAATAAGCGAGTTCATACCAAACGCTACTACTAGAAGTGTTTCCAAATCGCTCCAAGGTTTTCCTGGATGCCTCCATGTACTCCTCTGTAAGCTCCAGGTTTTTCTGTATTTCATCGAGCACCTTGTTGCTTGCTGCTAATATACACACATGCTCGAAGGCGAGCTTGTAGTCAGGGATGTATGGCTTGTAATTAGTTTTCTTCTTCCTGAAGAGCAAATTGGTGAGGGAATGGAATTGTTCGGAGATGGGGAGAACTAGGGGGCCAAGGGTGGTGATGTTGGCCTTGAGTGCATGCCCGCCAACCTCAACCACATCTTTGCTCACTGACACGCCTTGTGTCCCTTTTGCATCTTCCTTTAAATGTATGCTTTCGAAGCTTCTCTCATCCATGCCTTTGTGAGTTCGAACCAGCTGCATTATATATATTCGCCACATTATATAAGATTATTAGTTTAACGAAAGAAAATTTATGCAAGTAGTAGGTATGTACCTGCTTGAGTTCATACTTGGCACGCCATCTGTCGAGACGGGAGCTAGAGAGCAACATGGCTGCAGCCCCCATCCGAAAGAAGCAATTAGAAAGCAGCATATCGAAGTCGTTGCCTTTGTACCATGTGTAGCACACGGCCTCTGTGCTCACTACCAGTGCATATGTGCCAGGATAAGCATTCAAGAGGTCTTTTGCCAGATCAATGGCTATGATTCCTGCAGCACAACCCATTCCACCGAGGTTGAAGCTCTGAATGTTAGGCCTCAGCTTAAAATGGTTTATTACCATTGATGACAGAGATGGAGTGGTATTCAGAACTCCACAGTTCACTACTAGGATTCTAATGTCCTTTGGCCGGATTTTGGTGGCTCTGAAAAGGTCATTTATGGCCCCAAACATCACCATAGCTGCCTCTTCTCTTCCATCTTTTAGACTTATTTTGTAATCAGGGTGAAACACTACTCGGGGCATGTACGTCTCTTGGCCTATGCCAGAACTCTTGAGAACTCGTTTTTGAAAATCTATGGCAGCATCATTGAAGTTGCCTGAATTTCTTGCTAATTCAATGAATTCCTTCTTTGAGATCTTTAATTTGGTGCCCCGTACGTACAGAAAATTAAATGAAAAACCAGAAAAAACTTCAACATTAGTTATTAGTATTGAAGATCAAAATATAGAAATTATGAACTAGTGTAGCTATATAGCTAGTATAGTAATAGCATATATGTAAATTGAATTACCTTTAGTTCATCTGGTGGACGATAACAAGCAAAATCAACTAAATAAGTAGAGCGAGGTGCCAAGTCAAGAAAAATATATAGAATGAATCCCAATAATACCAATATAAAGAGAGCATCCGTAAGTTCACATTTTGGATTTGGAAAGAGATCTTTCAGCTTTCCTATTTCAGCACTGCAGAGCACTATGAGAACCGGTACAATCAAGAAGTAGAGCCTATGGCTGATGAGATAACTATAACCAAGCTCCACATATTTCAGATTAACTGAACCAAGAAAATCCGGCAAGCGTTGCCGTACCTTTACAGACACAGAGGAAGATCCACCATTGGGACCCAAATTCTCAGAGCCCTGGTTTTCGATCTCTGCTGAAAATTGCTCCTGCTCTCTTGCCATTGGAACTTTCTTATTGTTTATACTAGTTTTCTGCAATGATGTTCAAGAAAATAGCTATGTTACATAAGCCGCTAGAGAATGGAACATGTATGTATTTGCTATCGCCACTGAAAATCAGTATCTAATAACAAACCCACCAATGCAAATGAATTAAATGAGAAGTGCAGGATATCTCAAGGATGCATGGGGTGTGGAATTAGCTGAAGGGATATATAACAGTGTAGAAAAACAATATAATAATCACCCAAGTTACGTTAAGGGTATTGCAAATTGTAAAGATTGGCAACAGAAAGTAGGCTCTTTGTGCATGAGGGCGTATGAGCAGCTGGTTCATAGCACCAATTAAAGTTGTACGTCTGGGAATGGTTTTGTCTAGCTCCATCACCAACTGGGAGAAATTTATGTGAAATCTTCATCCAATAACTGATGACCATTTACTGTGTACTATCAATTCTGACCGTCCTAGAGAATTGAATTTGAGTTGTAAACACTTGGGTCTCAGTTGGTCAAAAACTTTCTGTAAAGACGTCCATCTCTATCGATATTGTCAATAATGTATCGATAGCATCTGTTGTTATTATTTGATAATAATATCTATCTACACATTATCAATACGACATGACACTAACTGCTGAGTATGTATCCTAGGCCTTGTGTTTTAGTAATCTCTTCTCTAACTTGCAGGAGACGCATCTATCTTTGCTTTACGACATTGATGGGGTTTGTAGTTCACCTTACTCAAATGTTCTTTTTGGTCCTTTGTTAACCAAAATATATATATAAATATATATATATATATATATATATTGCTTTTATTCTAACTATATTTTGATGCCCAAGGCCCAAAGCCTACTCGGCCAGGGCAGCTTAGTTATGAGTTTGCACGGGTGGCCAAACAAAACAAAGTACTTTCTTCCCTTCAAAACAAAACTAAAAAAAATTCATGCCTTCTTCTTTCTCTTGAACTCTTAGGGGCCGTTTGATAACGCTTTCGGAGAATGTTTTCTAAGAATATTTTCAGAGGATGAAAACGAGAAAACAAATTTGCATTTTCAGGATTCGAAAATATGTTTCTAGTAGATTAATTGGAAAACATATTCAGAAAATAAAAACAGTGAAAACGCGTCTCGTAATACAATTTGAGAATAATAATATATGAGTTATTTTTCAAGTGTATTTTTGTTAATTTCTGTTCTACAAAAAAAGATTTTTAAAAAATCTGATATTTTTTAACGCTAAAATTATTATAAACAATGGAAAAAAATGATATTTTTTAAAGGCCCTAAAACTATATTTTCTTCTTCATTTTTTCTCCTTTTTCTCCTTTTCTTTCTTTCTTCCTCTTTTCTTCTTCCTTGTTTCTTCCACACCCACTCTTCCTTCCTTCCAAGACATGAATCCCATCAACCCACCCATCTTTCTCTCTTTCTCTCTCTGATTCCACTAATTAATGGTTGTGGTGGTTCAATTGGATGGTGATGGTGGTTGAGCTGGGTATGTGGTGGTTCTTCTTCTTCTTCGTCCTCTCTCTGATTCTTTCTCTTCTTCTTCCTTTTCTCATTTTTTGTTTGTTTTTGAATTTGCAGATTTGTGTGATTTTGGGTTGGAGAAGATGGGTGTTGTCCTTGGTGGTGGTTTTCTTAGTTGTCAAGAGAGAGAGTGGGAGTAGATGGGATGCATTCTCGTGTCTTAAGAAAACACTAAAAACAACTTTTTTGTGTTTTTTATTTTTGTACATGAGGTTGGATTTGTTTTCATAAAACAAATTTAGTGTTTTGGGAAAACACTGCACCAAATGGGTGTTCTGTAAAAATTAAAATCGGAAAACGAAAATGGGGCTGTGAAAACAATACCGAACGGCCCCTTATTTTTTTTACCCAACGTACAAATATTTATCTTTATCAAATGAAAACATTAAAAAATTTATGAATTTGATTTTGTGATTATTATTACATGCTAATTGATGATGAATTTTAGT